CAATCCCAGATGAATGCCGACATCGAAAGAGATAGCATTGTTGCGCTGCTACAAATATTTTCAGGTCATTAGCACCCCCCGAAATGCTGTGTTTACTGCGGAAATCGTTCTAAAAACAAAATATCTTCTGTGAAGGGACGTCTCTCAGCAGCTGGACCAATATTGTGTATAGCATAGTAGCACCCGTTCACTACATATCCCAGGTGACATCATTTAGTGGTATGGGGGGGAGCCATAACTGCTGAGCCATTGGCAAAAGAATTAGTCGCTGACGAGACTTGAACAGGAGTTTACCGTTCAACTGGATGTCGCTACAGAAATAAAGTAAGGATATGGGAGCTTTCTGACGTGGGCTCTGGATGGCATCGCTGGTGGAAAAAGCCCTGACTGCACTGTGGTACGCGCAGCGTCGCATGCCTTATCCTTACGGGAGGGGAGGGGTGGGGAGAGGGGGGGTGGAATCATGACTGTACACGTGCCACCCCCTCACCCAAGGTTTGTGCTCATTTTTCACCAAATATGGTTTTTTTTTCGATGAAAGGTGGACATGGCTGTCGAAGAGATCCGATTAGAAGTCGCGGATGACCTTCTCTATCGCCCCTTGGGATACGGTGGTTGCTCCGTCCAGACGTCGCAGGCATCTTCATCTTACAGCTAGCGAAGTCGCGGCGGGCGTTGCGTATGCTCTTCCCAGCCTCTGCGGCTTCCACCAGTACTGCTGCTCTTCTCTCCTTGAGGTCTTCCTTTATCGCTTCTCTGCATAGCTTCGCAAGCTCAGACGTCTGCTAGTAGTTGCCTGTGGCCACGTTGGTGAATCAGCTTGAGAGTTTCCAGAGATAAACCCTTTTTGGCAATCTTGGAACTCTCTGACTTCTTGTCGAAGCCGTGAAGATGCTCAACAAGCCGCTCATGTTCCTCGTCAATGTTGTCGTGTCTTTTTTCCATCCCCACCAGAAGATCTGGTATCGGGTGCCCTAGCCGGCTTTCTGCGAAAAGGAAAAGTTTGCTTATCATTGACGCTCTGATTGCACATTCATTACACTCACTTAGTTGCCGTTTAATATGAGACAAGCCTTAATTCGCCTCAGAGGAAACACACCCTCGCCCATGTTTTCATTGCTACTTGACGAGTTTTATAGGGTTCAAGTCCCTCACTATCGCCTTCAGCCTCACCATTAATTGATGCCGTTAAGACCAAACAAGTTGCTTCTGTCGTGAAGGCGGAGTTTATCCACGAGTCGTATCCATAGAGTGAGTCCTCCTCAACCCCTAGCCCGCGGACCACCTCAAGTAAAAGCGAGAAAACCGTAATAAATTTGGAAATTCCTGCACCCTTTCACACAAATTCCTGCTCGGCAAATTGAACGCGACGTGAATTTCTAAATGGCCCAAGTTTGACCAAATCCTAATTGGCTCAGCTATAGTTGATAACGTCGCATTAGCCGAGGGGGGGAGGTGTCAGCAAAGGCGGAACGAGCCCGCTCTCCGCAACCCTGGTGAACCAATGATGATAGGTTGGCGATCGACTTGGAAAGGAAGAAAAATCAGCGGTGAAAACGCCGCGGGTAGCCTTAACCGCCCCTTTTGAACCTGCCCCTTCTGGTTGACTTTCTCAACCAAACCCTCGATGACGGTGTGCCTGGTAGGAAGGCCTGTTCCCATGGCACTTCCGCTCCCGGTCCTAAAAGGAAAGGAATCACGTTTGGAAAACTTGATAGAAACATGCACCACCAATGTTGCCACACCACTAAAAGTGAATTTCATGTTTAACACTTGCTTAGGAGGTTTTAAATGGATCGGGTTTGTTAGCCAATCGTTTGGCGTTCTGGGCCCTTGCCTTGGAACGCGTTCTTATGAGAAGAAAGCTCTTAATTACTACACGACCGACTTTCTATCGAGGCGAGCATCAGGTAGTTCCCGAGTTCCAGGCTCAAGAAGAAGGCGAGAGAAGCGCGAAATCTCTATCAACTGCAGAATGCTCCCGGGACCATCAATAGCCTTCTACTCAGCGGTCAAGTACGGCTCAATTATGGGATTCTCCCGAGAAGGTGTGCCCCGGTCAGCAACTCATGGGTAACGAGAGTCTATCTGGCATAGATTGGTCTGGCGTTACCCTGAAGCTTCAGGACTTGAAGTGGTGCTGTCCCTCTGGTCAGCAAAGGAGACCGGTCAAGTATGTCGGCAGTGAGAGTGCTTAAAGCATATGTTAGGATGGGTGGCTGGGGGTTCTATAGGTCGAAAGCTGAAGCAGGCTAGTAGTTAGATAGCTATGTTTGTTGGGCTATGTTCCGCAGACGCTTTTACAATAAGTTCGGGTACAGGGAAGACCGACCGAAGATAATTTATGATTTCATCACGCTTTATATAATGAATACTGAAGATACATTTAAATAGTTTGATGACAAGTCTTTTTCCCTTTTCATTTCTACAGTGAAGACCAGAGCTCACTCTTGACGGCCTCTGTCTGGGGCAATGAACTCCCGGACCAGCTCCTGCCGGTCAAGCGAGCATTTCGTTCCCACCTCCTGGCATCCCCGGGGAGAAAAACCTTAACATTGGATTCTTCACTAGGTAACACACTTGAGTTGTACATAGCATGCCTCCGCCTCATGCGTGAAGGCTAAATTAGTATCCAGAACGCTACGGCCTGAGTGGTACGCAAAGGG